AATAAACAATTAAATATGTGATTAACTGCCTCCATATTGATTATAACTTATCACACCTGACGGAATCAATCAATCACTTCTATCTAAGGCAGGATATGCAACGATATAAACTTACGCTTTACAAAACGCCAAATGCATTTCATTTTCTCTAATTACTTTCTAAGATGCCCAAATTCTTAAGTCTACAAAAACCCTCAGAAACCCAATTTTATCTACTTCAACGCGTTTGTCTTCTCAGACTACATTTTGACTAATAAAACTATAAAAGATTAAGACAGTCTGTCTTCCTGCCACTCCATACAGTTCTTCAAATTGAGCTGTCTATTTATTGAACGTTACTTAATTTCGCCTGGAAATCGTTGAAATGTTTAAGACTGGATTTCTCAACCCGAGGCCAGCCGATGTTTCGGTTTTTGTAATTTGTGTCGCTCTATACAATAAAAGAATAGTTAATTGATGTTAGAATATACGTTTAATTAATGTTGTCAGTATTTGGCAGTGCTTGGTGCTGTGAATGCCTGTTAGCTTAATGATCTTGGACAGTCTTGCTGATAAAAACTTGACGGGATAAAGGCGAATCATAAAAACAAATTCAACTTGATACTGAAATATTTCTCAAGCAAAGTAGTGTCACACGTCTCACTAATAATCTGTTTTATTAACTTAAATTTCTTAGTTGTATGTGAACATGTTTTGTTATAGTACGTAAGTAGTCCTTCAATAAACTGCCATGAAATGCAAATAAACTTTCCTCAATATTATGGCCCTGAATTCGATAAGCAAGGAGAATGTGTCTGCAGGTTCGAAAACAGTTAAGGAAAAATGACCTAAAATGTAGATATACCCTATGATAATCTTGGTTCTTTAATCAGTTTATCGTTTAACACACTTTCGGCTCTATTTGATAACTTTTAATGGAACGCTAGGGGTAATCCGTATTTGAATGCTATTCACCTTATCTCTCGATTTACTAACTTCCAATTTACGACATTTCGCTACGACGAACCACTTAAATTTAAATTTATTTTTCAATCTACGAACATTTTCACTGCAACGAAGAACCAACCTTCATCCGAAGGCCGAATGTCAGCTCTTGAGGCAGGAACGCGGAGGAATACGTAAGTTCTTATGTTTATGCTGTAATTACAATAACTGCTGTACAATATAAAGTTTTCATTCAACATTTCAATTGTATTTTAAAGGGTTAAATCGGTAACAACTATCATAAAAAGGCAATACTGTACTTATTTTTATAGTTCTATAACATTCTAAAATACGTGAAAAATACTGGTCGATTGTTCTCTGGAAATCGGGAACCAGTAAGAATTTTTACATTGAAATTATGGGAATTTTATTTTAGATTTACGAATGTTCACCGTACGAAGTTTTCATCAACTGAATTACGTTCGAAAATCGGGGATGGGTGTATTTATTTCCTACCTTGAATAATTCAGATAAACTTGAATGCCAAAATATTTTACTTAAGAAACGCAAACAAACTACAGTAAGAGCTTTGATGTGCTATACAAATTCTTCAGATTAAGAGAGAATTGATAAACACATGACAAAATCTCCGAACACGTTTACATATGAAGCAAACGTTTCCTGTGTTTGCCAACATCTGTAATCTTATCTCAACCGTTTTTTAAAAACGCCCTCCAATATACAGGTAACACGAACATGCAATATATCTTATCGAAAGTATCGAGATAATAAACTGAACCAAAAAAAAACACGTTTCACAACTCGAGTATCGATTTTCAGGTGTGTCACGGCCGAGTAGTCAGCGCGCGTTCTTAGTTTTCGGAAGGCCACTTCTTGGCCTTGAGACCGAAATCCTGACACGTTCGTTGTGGCTTTTCCCAGTCAATCCAGTTCAATGTTGGGATAGAACCTTACATTAGGCCACAAACACTTTCTTCCATAGCCTATATTTTCCAATTTATTCCACTTTTCACTACTCATTCAATGCCTGAGCTACTGAAAATGTCGTTAAATAATCTATATAAAAACAAGACTTTCAAGTCTGGTTACACGTGTTACGGTACTTCGCCCTCAAATTTAATCTATCCGTAAGAAAGGCACAAATATCTCATGGGTCTAACAGATTATAGATTATCCTGACTCGGGATTATCCTTATTTTCTTCAATCTTTCCAGACTGATTATCATCTTCAGAGCTTTCAACTTATTTTTTTCTTCTGTTGTTGAAATTAAGTGGCATCTTCAACCGACCAACTACGAGGCACAATCATCCTCTCGTCAAAATTAAGATGGCTGTCTTCTGGGTTGTAGCGCCGTGTAGTCTAGTAGATGTTTACCAACGTTTCGCAGGTCATTGCTGCCTTCAACATCAGGGCGATGGTCTGCCATGGATTATTCCCTGTGGGAAAAGTGGCCGGAACGTGAAGCTGACAACATTACTATTTAGAGAAGGGGTTAAGAATACATAACAGGCCAATGCGAAACTTCATCTTTAATTTTAATGACAGCGTGTTCTTGATATGCCATTGATCTAGCATTTGCAGCAAAAGTAGGAAAATATAAGATCGTACATGATACAAGAATATGGCGGACGTTAAGTCTTTGCGATCTGTGCCACGGCTCGGTTTGTGCTACCCAGCAGAGAAGGAGCCAGCAAGAGAAAGTGGGACAGCCAAACCCGGACTTTACTTCTGATTCTTAAAACTATCACCTTGTTTGACTTCTGCATCATATGTAATAGCGTTAAACTAC